CTGCGGACTCAGCAGGAAGAACCTTCAATTGATAAACAGCTGCCGACTGAGCAGAATAAACCTTCAACTGATAAACAGCTGCGGACTCAGCAGGACGAACCTTCAATTGATAAACAGCTGCCGACTGAGCAGAATGAACCTTCAACTGATAAACAGCTGCCAGCTGAGCAGGACGATCATTCAACATGTCTCGATTTATAACAAGTTTGGAACTAATTTTGTCCCCTGGTGAGTTAGCAGTAAATTTACGGACTTCCACGTTACAATCCGTGGTTTGATTCCTCGCGGAGGGCAGAGCTCAGATAGCCCATTGTGTGGCTTTGAGTTGAAACAAATCACGCACAAATTTTGGTCCACAGAGAAGGGGAAATTTAATTGAGAATATTTTCAAAACTAACGTTTTGGTTCTTGCATGAATACGTTCGGCACACGTTTCTAAATACTAAGAAAGCACATGTGTTCATAAAAGACATAGTATTAGTTAGGTATCTTCGAGGGAATAGTAATCAAATATTAGGACGTAACTGGTTATTCAGCTGTTAATGTTATGAAGTAATTGACTATTCAGCTGTTAATATTAGGAAATAACTGGTTATTCAGCTGTTAATATTAGGAAGTAATTGACTATTCAGCTCTTAACATTAGGAAATAATTGGTTATTCAGCTGTTAATATTAGGAAGTAATTGACTATTCAGCTCTTAACATTAGGAAATAATTGGTTATTCAGCTGTTAATGTTATGAAGTAATTGACTATTCAGCTGTTAATATTAGGAAATAATTGGTTATTCAGCTGTTAATGTTATGAAGTAATTGACTATTCAGCTGTTAATATTAGGAAATAATTGACTATTCAGCTGTTAATGTTATGAAGTAATTGACTATTCAGCTGTTAATATTAGGAAATAATTGACTATTCAGCTGTTAATATTAGGAAATAATTGGTTATTCAGCTGTTAATGTTATGAAGTAATTGATTATGTTGTGATTTACTTTTGAATTAAAAAATGGTCAGACCGTGAGTAATTTTAGAATTATGCTATAGAGTAGTTATCTGTGCTCTGTTCACCGCGCAAACTTACCCTGATGGGTGACAAAATTGACTGTATGACAATTTGCTATTTCAGCAAAAAACGAAATATATATAATTACACATTTTAGATTATGTATTTTCATGAGAACTTTCTATGCCCTTCCTCCCATTTTTTTTATTGCAGATTTTTTGTTTGTTTGTTTGTTTGTTTTGAATTTTGCGCAAAGCTACACGAGGACTATCTCCGCTAGCCGCCCCTAATTTAGCAGTGTAAGACTAGAGGGAAGGCTGCTAGTCATCACCACCCACCGCCAACTCTTGGGCTACTGTTTTACCAACGAATAGTGGGATTGACCGTCACTTTATAACGCCCCCACGGCTGAAAGGGCGAGCATGTTTGGTGTGACGAAGATTCGAACCCGCGACCCTCAGATTGCGAGTCGAGCGCCCTAACCACCTGGCCATGCAGGGGCTTCAGGTTTTTATGGAGCCAACATTAGAATAACCTGAAGTTTAAAATATTATTATTATAGGGCCAACATTAGAATAATCTGAAGTTTAAAATATTATTATTATAGGGCCAACATTAGAATAATCTGAAGTTTAAAATATTATTATTATAGCGCCAACATTAGAATAATCTGAAGTTTAAAATATTATTATTATAGAGCCAACATTAGAATAATCTGAAGTTTAAAATATTATTATTATAGAGCCAACATTAGAATAATCTGAAGTTTAAAATATTATTATTATAGAGCCAACATTAGAATAACCTGAAGTTTAAAATATTATTATTATAGAGCCAACATTAGAATAACCTGAAGTTTAAAATATTATTATTATAGAGCCAACATTAGAATAACCTGAAGTTTAAAATATTATTATTATAGTGCCAACATTAGAATAACCTGAAGGTTAAAATATTATTATTATAGGGCCAAGATTAGAATAATCTGAAGGTTCAAATATTATTATTATAGAACCAACATTTGAATAACCTGAAGGTTCAAATATTATTATTATTATAGAACCAATATAGAAAACATTCCGATTATTTACAAGTTTTTAAGTTCTTTCCATAGAACCCCATTGTTTTGGGGGGGGGCTGCTTTAATTTCTGCTTGAAATTTATAGCTAGAATTAATTGTTCAAAGCCAATAGAAAAAAAACCTTTTGAAGAAATAATGAGTGATCAGTAACCCCACACACACTCGTGTAGAGAGAGAGAGTGTCGTCTAGTTTATCCATGCAGTACCTTGCTTGAGTACATAGTTTTAATTTTAAAGTATAAATGACTAAAACTTGAAGCTCTTATTCAAAAGATGAATAGCGTTTGCTTTTTAAGATTGCGAGACCTAACGTGTTATACAAAATTATGATGTAATTGTTTTATGCTGTTGATTCTTGGAAATTCTACTATGAATGACTGAGATACCTTTGAAGAAAAAAACTGCATATATTTAAGTTTTTCAAACATTGCCCTACGTCTTAGGAAACTTTTCCTAGAGGAACTATTATTTCTGCCTACCTGTCCAAAGTCAGTTCTTCTAAGTGTGCCAGATCACAGGCAATATACTCCAGGGCAGCGTCCGTAATTCGAGGACACCAGGAGAGGTCAAGTGACCGCAGCTGTCGCAGATTCTCCGAAATTAATTCCACCCCATCATCAGTTATTTTAGAGCAACCTGAAAGCGAGAGTATACTCAGATTGGGAAGAGCGTGGACGAGATTAAGGAGTCCGTGGTTTGTGATCTCCCAACAAAATCGAAGACGAAGAATAATTAAGGTTGCACTTTGGCGAGGTCCGAAAAACGCCAAAGCGGTGTCTGTCACGTGGTATGCTTGCAAATTGAGCTCGTACAAGGAAGGGAGTAACTGCGTGATGGTAGCTACGCTTTCGTCCGCTATATTTATACTGTCCGCTAATGTCAATGATACAATACGGGGATTTAAAGTAGCCCACAGACCCGCGTCAGTAATGTCATTACAACCGAACAGTTCTAATTGCGTCACGGCTTGTAGATTTTTTAGGGAAACTTCAAGACCTTTGTCCGTCACATTACAGTAACGTAGCGACAAATGACGTAGGTGTCTCACATAAGAGGGTGGACAGTTGCTCACAAAATCATACAAGTCCTCATCATTTGCGCCAAAGAGACAAGCACAGTCAAATCCTCGTCGCTCAAGACTAAAGTACACCTTCTTTCTCAGTTCGGCTGAGGTTGACTTGTCCCCCGAAGTAGGTCGCAGTTCCCGACACTGAAGGATGGGGAGAATCCCTCTCCAGTACTTGGGCTGATACAGTAGGTCCCTCCAAAGCTGGCACACTTGCGCTAATATTTTCCGCTCACGAGAAATAAAGTACCGGAAAAACGTACCCAAAAAACCTGGGTCTTGCCACAAGTCCTTCACTGTTATTGGTCTTTTTAGTGCTGACAAATATTCCCTGATTTCAGCAGCTTTTTCTACACGAGATACCCCTTTGTTATGGCGAGTATTCGAATCTTGACCGGTCGCGGTCGAGACACTGGTCAGCCCTCCGGGTGATCGAATGTTACCAGCCTTTCCACGGACGGCTAAACCGTTGAAACATCTAGTGAGTTCAGCCGCTGCACGCTTCGTGAAACTAACATCTGTTGACATGACTGTAGCACCAGCAAACCCACATTCCCTATCAAATTATAATGTACGACAGAAAAAAGCTCACTTTCGCTCACTGGTCACGCTAAATACTTGATTTAGCACCCTCTTGGTAAATTCTAAAAAAAAAAAAGGATAAAAAGTTGACACTGTTGAAAGCTCTACAGAAACAAATCGTTTTGTACAATTTAAAATCAAGTACGAAATGGAACGATTGGAAAGTGTTATTTCACGAAGCTTATACAATACACACCAAACGGGATACTGGTGTAAGTCGTCTTGTCTTTCAAATGTGGAAATAAAGCGTGGGTTCGCGAAGTGACTCTGCTGTAATATTTTTACTGAGTGTGCGTAAGTGACGTCAGTAGAATACTATAAAAATATAAAGATATTTCGCCGGTATCCTGTGTAAATCAATTTTGTAGAGCTTGATTGAAAATTTTAATTTATTTTTCTTATATTCAACTTTAAAAACAAAACAGAATCGTAGATAATTAAGTTTTTGACTACTGTTCATAGGCTGACAAATAACGTCTCGTTGATCCTCCATGTAAGACAATCAATAAACACACGAGAACAGCTACCAAGGCTTGTTGCCATGGCGACTTCTCAATGATTTCTAATGAAAGCAAAGGCTGTTCAGTAATATTCCCAACTTGTATAAAAAAAACAAAAAAATGATATGTGAGAAAATATGATATAGAAACGGACACGAAGAATAATACCACAGTGGAACGTTTGTTTTAATCAAAGTTTATTAGCGCACATTCTAGGCAAGAGCGTTGCGCCCCACCGTTACACACAATTTCATATGGTTTCACCCACGATAAAAATTTCAACCCTAAATTCAGAACACAATAAAAGAGAAACACTGAAAACGTTACGAAGTAATTTTCTTTATAATCGCGGAGTGCGTCTTGGGCTTCGTCCCCTGGCCCTTCTTTTATGGGGAGGCTCAGCTCCTAAGCCTCCGCCAGGGAGTAAGACTGACTCTCGTGCGTAAGGTTATTTATTTTCTGCCGGCGCACCTGCTAGAAGCTGTAAATGGAGTTTCTCAAAATCGATATAATTAACAAAATACGGATTAGATCTTTCAAATTTCTTTCTTCCATCACAAGTCGAGGGAAAAACGTCAACAAACCAATATTTTCTCTTCAATTAGCTGTTCAAAAATTAATGTTTAATCCTCGCAGTAGAGCTATCAAAGAGCAACAAAAGACATTTAAAAAACCTGTTTATGCGACTGAACTTGTTTTTTACATAACAACAAAAAGTTAAAATAGATTCTTCTTTCTAAAGTTCATTTCCCAACAGTTCCAACACGAGTAACAAGTCTAAATCAGAAAACTATATTTAACGTTAAAATATAAATATACTACGTCTTTCGGGCAATACATAACTCAATAATTTGATGGCCACTCGTTGCCTAGTGGTTAGTGTGCCGGTCTGCATTTCGGCAAGTTCAAGGTTCGAACCACGTTTTATTGTGACAATCAATTTCGCTACTCGGTTAATACTACAGGCTGACGACAAACCAGATGGATCAGCCAGTCTCTGACCTAACCATTTAACCTGTTTCTCCTAATACTACAGACTGACGACAAACCAGAGGGATCAGCCAGTCTCTGACCTAACCATTTAACCTGTTTCTCCTAGTACTACATACTGACGACAAACCAGAGGG